AGAGTGACACCAAAGCAGTTATGCAAGCTACAACAGGGTCTTATAACACATATATGCAGGAATGATAACAAGAGCTATCAAAATTAGGATCTGTGAACATAAAAGCTGCATAAAGATGCAGAAGATGCCAGCCCCTTGCTCAGCAATTCCTGAAATGTGGCCATGATCCAAATGACCTAAAGTTCCACTGCCTGCAAAAGGCTGACGATCAGGGACAGCAGCTGCACCATCAACTTCTGTGGCAGGCACCAGACTGCATCTAGACTTCAAAGACTCAAAGTATGATCCTTGGCCCATTCAGGCACAAAAAAAGCCCTAAAACACCCAGCATTCCCAGCATTCCCAGCAGGCTGGCTGGGAAATGCTGGGAGTGTAGAGCTTTTTCTGCCTAAACAGGCATGAATCCAGTTGGCTTAAGGAAAGAGGTGGCTTGCATGGCTATGTGCTATGACAAACCATTAGAACAGAGCTGTGTAAATGGTTTTAAAATATTTCTGGCCAATATGTATTGTGAAGTATTTCTGAAAATCGGTGACATTTCTGGCTCATTTTCTGATAATTGGTTTTTCTGGTACGTGACCTCAAAGAACCCCACTGCAGTTCTAAAGGGCTTCATAACAACATTTGAGATTACAGCCTTGTGTTCAATGTATGGCCCCAGCCTTCTTGGTTTTTGAAGACAGCTTGCATGTTCCTGGAAGGGAACCTCCTGAATGATTCCATTTTGGTTAATATTCTTGCACAGGTAAACATGCAAGCTTTCATATATGCAAAAATGAATATATTTCCATTTGTTTGGAAAGGATAACTTTTGCATGTTTTGCAAGGATATATTTTTGCATGTGCATGAATTATTTCTAGTTCGTCAAAGTCTAATAATTTATGCCTGGACTGAAGTGAGGATTTAAAAAAGAAAAAAAAACACATAAATACCTGCATGTTTTATCCTATATATAAGAAACAGGTTTTTATCAAATAAATAAATAATTGTGGTTTTATTGCTGCCTTTGGAAGTCCTGTAGTATTCTTTATTGTCAGTATTGTGAGAAACTTGGACTCAAATTAATGAGGGTGATGTTAACATTCTAGACATTGTCTGAAGGGTGCATGGAATAGTTTGGTGGCCACATTCTGACCTCCAAGATGGGAATTGAAGTGCAAACCCCCATTCCCTTTACAGCTGGTAGGGAAGAATTGCAGTGGCTGTTCTCTGAGAACGGGAAATCACACTTTGAGGGGAGGTAATGGGGACATTTCTGGGGGGGCGGGTGCAGAAAAGAAGGAGACCGAAGTAGAGGGATCACGAAGCTGCTCCAGCTTTCTCCCCCCCACCCCACAAGACAAAAGTTGAGCAAAAACACCGAGCAGGAGGAAATGGGAGGAGAAGGGTGCCTTCTCCATTTCTTCTGCCCCACTGCATGAGCAGAAACCCAGGTTCAGGGACTTGACCTTCCTTCCATAGAACTGCACCAAGTCCTTTCAGGTAGCTTTTCATACCCTTTTTAGATACTAGGTCAACAGTCAAGATTCATGGTTGAAATGTATTTAATTATTTCTAGGATGAAATCAGAGCATGGCTGTCGCCCTCCTCTATTGCTTAATGACTGTATGTCCATAGCCTGTGAGCACAAAAAAGAAGAAATTGAAGCTGCAAAAGGTGTTGCAAGAAGTTGCACACCAGCTCGGATGGGTGGCTGCAGCCAAGAAATCGGAAGAAGGCTGGGTCAGCTCCCTGGACACGGGCCCCTTTCACTCTGCTCTAAGTCCGCCTCGCACAGAGCATTCACACGGGCCTGCTGCAGGAAGCGAGTCCAGGGGACTCCACTGGGCACCCTTTGCTTTGCAGAGTTCGGCCTGCATGCACGTGACTTGCAGGCTTTGCCTACTTTGCACAAAAAAACCATGCTTTGCACAAAGGAATACGTCCTTGGTAAACTTTGTGCAAAGCAGCCCCTGGCATCCGTGAGGACTTGCAAACTTGATCTTGGCTTGGCTCACTTTCTGGTCAGGGCTGAGCAAGGGAAAGAAATCCAGCCAGCACAAGAGCCGCATCCCAACCTGATCCTCGCACCCCTAGTGTGGGAGTGGATAGGGAGCAGAGGGGAGCAACCTCATCTCCCCTCCTATGAGCACTTTCATTGCACTGCAGTTCTCAGAAGCTGGCGGACACGTGCTACTGTAGCATCTTTTCAACCTGGAGCAGTGGCTTCCCCACCCCGCAACCCACAGTCTAGTGTGTTGTTGAGGCTAAGGGCTGCTATAACAGTCTGGCATACGGTTCAAATAAAAACCAAGACTCCCCATTATTCACTTCTTTTGAAACTGTTCCCAGCTTGGCTCAGCCGAAGGGGAGACACTCATTCGTTTTCATCTTGTCAGGTTTGGGTGGGAGCTGAAATATTTCCCGCTCATGCCCCAGAGCACTCTGTCGAGAAACAGGAAAGCCACGTCTGACTGCTGCAGGCAGAATCCTCCTTAAAAGTAGTAACGGGGATTTATAGGATTCCCTTTAAACAGCGAATATTAATTTCTTATTCAAAGGTAATGCATCCTAAAGTTTATGCAAACCATAAAAGGTGATGCAGATTTGGGGCAAAGAATTTTTTTTAACAAGTCTTAAACTGTGATTTTATCGAGATGAATTTTTAACATCTTTTTCTGCCCTCTCCTTCTTTGTAGAACGGTTTAATGTAAATTCAAGCTAGAACTTCCACTCATGGCATCGTTTGGGTGACTTGTCATTGGAGTTGAACAATCAGGCACAGAGCTTCAAAAGATGGTTCGTGGGAAATCTGGCTAGGGAGAAGGAAGGGGAAGAATTATCTTCAAAACTACCACCTCCCTGAATCGATTGCCTTAGGACTTCAGTCTTCACCCCCAGCCAAAAGGCACCACACTTTTATTTGAGAGTAAACTTCTTGAATACAACAAGGCTTGCTTTTGTGTAAGCACACACAGGATCAGAATCCATGTTGCTGGTCCCACCTTTGCTCACGCATCCCTTCCTATGCAGAGCCCTTCCACTGCATTGGCCCCTCATGGTCTGAGACCTCTGCAGTGGGTGGACACAGTCACAATGCCCAGACCAGGATGTGGGTGCGGGGGGGGCGGGGGAGGAGGTTCATCTATGTATTTCTTTAAAGCTTTTATATACCATCCAACTACCTGTGTTTTGAGATGGTCTTACAGTAGAAGCAGCATAAAATAAAATGAAGCACAGCATCCAAATAATTCCAATAAAATAAAACCCACATCAAAACCTAATCAAACATTAAAATATTGGGAAAATAAAAAGGTTTTGGCCTGACACCAAAAGGAACAGAATGACAGTGCCAGGCAAACCTTCCTGGGGAGTGCATTCCAGAACTGGGATGCCACCACAGAGAAGGCCCTTCTCTGGTTCAGAGGGCCAGATGCAACAAGCTACATCTGCAAATGGTCCAAAGTCAGAAAACTCGTGAGACGACGGGGTTCAGGCAGAAGCACATTCCAGGAGTCATATCCCAGTGAGACAAGCACAGTCAAGAGAGGGTGAGGTCAGGAAGAACAAGTTGCAGGCACCTGGCCAGGCCAGGTCAGGCCGGAGCTGGGTAGGAGCCAGGCAGGCAGCCAGAGCAGCCAGGAGCAAGGACTTGGAACAAGGGCTTGGTTCAAGGCAAGGCTGGGAGCCGGAGCAGCCACAGAGTAGCTGCCAGGACAGCTCGTGCTGCTGGGGTGAAAAGCAGCAGCACAGGGAAGCCTGTTCTGGAGCTCTCCAGGGCTCCCAGCTCTGCTGCAGGTTTCCACTCCCTTGCTCCCTGCAAGTACCTCCAGGTGTGTTCCTGGTTCTGCAGGCACCTGCAGGGTGAACCAGGCTCTGATCCAGAGATCCTGGTAGCCAAGCTGCAGCTGGACCTGCCAAAAATCTGCATAACTCCTTGTCATGGCATTACCGCAGCCTGGGCAAGCATGCCCGCAAACCCAGAGCAGCGCATTGCGCATGGCCAGGATTAAGTTAGCAAACAAAGGACAACTCTGCCCAAGGCATCGCCACGTCCCGATAGGAGCATGAGCGTGACATCAAGCCCCATTTGAACTGCAAATATTTAAGATCATTTTAGATTATTACTTTAAAGTTGCAAAACAAGTGGCTAATTTCTCATAGGCACTGGGGCTTTGTTCTGCTCCTTGGTGTTTTTACATGTCTGCATTTCAACAAGATATTTTGTTGTTATTGGTTCAGGCTGTTTTGCAGCACAATCTTACAGCTACTAGACCGAGTCTAGATGGCCGTAGCTTTTTCAGAGCCACAGTTCTGACCTCAGAAACCTGTAGGCTGGGCAGGCTCCATCAGTGCTTCCTGGTCCTTTCATCCAGCTCTAAGGTGAGGGCTAAAATCGGCCCTCTAAATGTTTTCTAATGAACAACATCATCAGATTGCACTCTTAATTGATCTGTAAAACTCTATTTACTCTTGGTTATGCTCTGTTGCCTCCAGAAGCCATGCTTTCCCTGAATGCACACCTTGGATACTGAAAGGAGTCTCTGTGGGTATATTATACTGCCTTCAAGTAGAACCAAGCTCCCACTATACAGAACATATTTCTACTCTTGATTGACAAACCATTCATTACAGATGCAAAAAGCATCCCTGAGAAATGCTGTGGGTCATAGAGAAAGATTCTTGGCTTCTCTCAAATCCCCTTCCTTCTCAAATTCCCTCATACCTACAGAGGAACCTTCACAATGACCTCTGATTTAATACTGGTGAAATCCAAAGCCAGACAAACTTGGGATGTGCGAAACACACTTGGGAAGTGTTGTTGGTTTTCTCAAAGCCCTTGGTTTTCTTTGAAATTTCCCTGGCATGTCATTAGAGTTGCACTTCTGTTTCACATCCCAAGATTGCTTTAGACAAAATGTTAACCAGGAATGTACACCCCAGCAGCAAGCAATGCCATGACAAGTATGAACAAGTCACAGTGCTCTTCAACCACACCACAAACATGGTTAATTCTTACTTGTGTCCCAGTTCATGCGCAATAGTGAACGCCAAGTTCAGTCCATTGTCTTCTGCGAGAACACACTTCCTTTTCGAGCTGCAGATGCCCCCAAGATAGGCAATTCCTGCAAATAATGACAAAGGCCTCCATCAGTGTCAGCAAAAGCAGCCCACTCCTTTCAAAAACACATCAAGCAGCTTTAGTAGAAATACTAAACAGAGAAGAAATAACCATTTTCTTACTGATTGCTCTTAAGGTCTTGTGCATCAGGATCGAATGCCAAACAAACTTGTGCATTACTGAGGTTTATAAATTATGAACAAGCATCAAGAAAGTTGGCAAAGAGATCTCATTATCTGAACAACAGTGGCACTTGGGAGTCATTCAAGCAGATTGACCGGAGACAAAAAGGAAGCACTTTCTTGGCTCAGTGTATCCATAACCCAAGAAAGTAATTGGCCTTCTAGATGTTGACTAGCGCCCATAGCACTGCTCTGTTAATTGGCCTTTTTAAAAGAAGTGAATTTGCAAAAGGTTTAGAGGGTTTCCAAGCAGCTCTCTGCTCATGCCAGGTATAGAGCCAGTGTGTTCAGGTGCAGTGTAACTTTGATTGCTGGATGTACAATTTTTATTGCAATGGCTGCCCAGAGAGCATAATGCTAATGGACAGTTTTTATACAAATGTGATAAATAAGCATACAAATAAACAAACAACAAGACCACTACAAAATTCTTCTTAAAGGATGCAATTGTTACAAGGTAAGGCTGGGAAATCCAATCACCAGTAACATGCAGACATCCTCACCTGTGCACCCACAGAGACACTGAAAATCTTTCAACAAGTGGATTCATTGGCCAAATGTCTGAGGAATATCCAGCAAGATACTGTATATGAGATCCCTCTTGCTGATGATTCCTGATGGCTGGAAGCATGTATTTAATAAATACACTTACAACATACGCCACTCTACAGATTTTGGAGCAGTGAACAGGATCAGAAATAGACAGATGAAGAAAATAAATCAATGCATTCAATCAAAATCAGTCAGTCAAGGAAGGCTTCCTAAATAGAGATGTTTTCAGGAGCACAGGAGGTTCTAGAGAAATCTAGTTGTTACACTGAAAGCGCTTCCAATCAGACCTCAGTGCCACATGGGACCATGACAAGAAGGCCACCTGATGACTTCGTTGGTAAGGGAGAAGGTGATCACTTGGCATTGGCCACATCACGGCAGCTGTAAACTTGACTTCTGCCTATTCATCTAGTGCAGCTTTCCCCAATGGCCGCGCTGGCTGGGAATGATGGGGGTTGCAGTCCAACATATCTGGAGGGCACCAGGTTGAGGAACACTGACTTAGTAGATGAGGAAATGCTCTCTTCCATTCCAAGTTTTGAAAAGGAAGCGGCCCTTCAGTCCTCTCACACTACTTCAAAAGGTTTCCTAGGTGACCCGCTGCTGAAAGGACAACCTCCTGCAAAATACTTGGTAAGCATTTATTGAGGCATGCATGGACATCCCATACAAAATGTGCCACAACCTGATGGATGAAAGATGAATTTATATTTTAATTAGGAACTTACTTAATTCTAAAGGGGAACAAGTAATCCACAGTCCCTCCATAACAGCGTTCTCATTATACCAGGCTTATTTTTTTCCCCCTAAGAGACAAGCAATCTGTTTACTTGCTAGAAATGCTGCTCCCACGCTTGGGTTCTGTAGCCTTTAAGAACTGGAGTGAGACATCGGATTCAGCTTCACAATAGGGGAGCCATTCTCTTTCCTCCTCCCAGGCCCAGTTTTTCAAAGCAGGCGATATCTTTGTTTGTCAGGACGTCAATGGTAGGGACTATCCATGATGCAGATTTTCACTTGCAGGAAGGCTTGGATGTGCAAAGGGGCTGCATTTCTCCCCCTTACCGGGGATGGCTCCTTGTTTATGCTAAACGGAGTAGCCGTATGCTTTGAGGCATGGGAGAAAGCACAAATGGAATTGTACTTTCATTCTAGATGAACCTTACCCTTCTCAGGTGGTATTGACCACACCGTGGCAGTGGGTAAGCGTACCTTCTACCTATTTCTATGGGGAGGACGTCCACAACCTCCCCACTCCCTGTATGGCCCCATGGATTCTTCCCCCATTATCTGCACCGGGCACCTTTCCAAATGCATCCTGCCAGCATGCGGGGTGCTGACCTGTCTTCTCCTGCAATGGGAGTTGCGCCATGCCAGAAGGGAGCGTGCCAACGCACAGCACAGCAAAGCCCTCTTGTGTTAGCATGGTTCAGGCTTCAGGGTCCATTGGATGCCTCCATAATAAAGCAGCCATTCTGAGCCCATTTTAATTGTCAAGTTAAAAGGGAGGGCAGATGTTTTACTCTTTTTTGGAAGACACAGTTGGGTAGAAAATCCTCTAGCTTTTGGAGATCAACTAACTCTTAATTAGCAAGCCAAATACAATGCAGAGGATTCTCTACATGGCAACTTTAATTAAGAGAGGAAAGCTGTTTTGCAGTCTCAAATCCACAGTGGGAAAAGTTTGGCCTTCATATTGTTATGTGCAAAAGGAAATGAGTGCATTGCCAGCGATTAGGGGGCTGGTGCAGACAGCGGTCTGAAATTCCAGCTTGCATAAGAGCTTTTATGAGCGGATCTGGTATAGTTAATTCTTGCACCAATAACTGAGCCTTGACAGCACCTGGAGGTAAAAAGTAGATGCAGAGCATCCACACGGAGGACAACAACTGTTGTCGACCAAGTTCATCCAGGGGAAATTATCTTGAAATGCACTGGCTGAATTGAAAGATGCTCATGGGTGTAGGTTCCATAGTCCCATCGTTACACAAAATTCCCACAAGAGCTGATCCAAATGTACTCCCAGTCTGATTTTGAGTCAAATGCAGGGGTTGTCAGCATGGCAATCAGAGTTCTCTATTTTCTGGGAAAACCCTACTTTTAAGAATGCTCACCCACTTCCTTTCGGTCTGTTGCCATCATTACTCTGCCAGCTCTTGCTGCCCTGGAGACCCCTTTGGAGTGAGAGCAGGACAAGCGTGTGGCAGATGCCAGAAACAGTGCTTACGTGTGCAAAGTAGTGCTGGAAGACAGACCGAGCCAGGGCTTCAGGGCCAAAGTTGGGTAGCACTTTGCTAACAGAATTGTTATTATCTTTCTACTGCTCCAGTAGGGATGGCCAAGGCTATTCCCAAGACCAGTGATGGCGAACCTTTAAGAGACCGAGTGTTCAAATTGCAACTCAAAACCCACTTATTTATCACTAAGTGCCAACACTGCAATAAAACCTGAATACTGAGGTTTTAGTTTCGAAAAAACAACTCACAGCCAGCCCAAGCAAATCTCTCTCTCTCTCTCTCTCTCCTTGGCAGCACTCTGGCCATGCAAAAGCTTGGATGAGTCGCGGCTAATGAGTTGTGGCTCGTGACATCATCACCTGGCGCCACTACTCCTTTCTGAGCATGTGCATGGCCCCTATGTGCACTGTTATCCGATGCTCGGCTGCTGGAGTGATGCTGGGGTGACTTCGCTTGTATGCCGACAGAGAGGGCTCTGCATGCCTGCTGTGGCACGTGTGCCATAGGTTCGCCACCACTGCCCTAGACTCTTCTCTGATGTTGCTTCACAGGGACTGTGGTAACTTACATGCCAGTATCAACCTGAGCCTAACGCAATTCATGCAAAAGACTGACTTTCTAGACACTATTGTGCAACTACATCATGGGCACATGGGCACTACCTCGTAGCAGGAACTGAGTGACTACATACTTGCATGTTCCCAGTTTCCACAATAACATATCACAAAATCCACTACTACAGCCAAGCCTTACAATATGCTGCACAGAAAGGGTCCAGCAGAGGGCAATAAAAATGATCCAGGGTTTGGAAACACTGCCTTATGAGGAGAGGCTGAGAGAACTGGGCATGTTTAGCCTTGAGAAGAGAAGACTGAGGGGGGCATGATATCCCTCTAGAAGTACCTCAAAGGCTGTCACAAAGAGGAAGGCCAAGATCTCTTCTTGTGGATACCAGAGTGCAGGACACGGAATGATCAAGTCAAGCTGTGACAACCCAGATTCAGGCTGGACAACAGGAAAAGCTTCCTCGCTGTCAGAGCAATACGACAGTGGAACCAGCTGCCTAGAGAGGTGGTGGGCTCTCCCACAGTAGAGACATCCAAAAAGAAACTGGACAGCCACCTGAGTGGGATGGTGTACGTTGGTGTCCTGCAAACAGCAGGGCATTGGACCCGCTGGTCTTCGTGGTCCCTTCCAACTCTGTTGTACTATGATTCTATGGTAAGCCAACAGAGCTCAGACTACAAAGCAATGGAACACAAAGACGCAGGGCCAGACTGGTACCCAGAAATATGGGTGACAGACAGGCCCAGATGAGAAAAGAACGGAACACTCCTTGTTCGTACCTATTGCTCCTAGCTAAAACAACTCCAGCATAGCATCACTATTTATGGACTGCTACCAAAAAGAAAGGGGAAAGAGAAGAGAGACCTGCTTCATAGCCTGTCCAGTTTAGCTCTTCCATGTTTGGGCATCTGGAGGAATGCAGGCTTTGCAGGATCCATTGACCCATGCACTTGGCAAGCAAGACTACCTCCAACCCAAGCTGCCTGTGGCTCAGCAAGACCTTCTGCCTTTTAAATGCGGTTGAACAAATGACTCCAACAATCATCTTGCACACTTAGGCAAAACAGTGCTCCTCCTCAAGCCTTCTGACATCTACAGGCTTAAGGTAAATGGGACCATATTTTTAATTAAAACATTGTAATCCCATGTTGTGTGAGAGGGAATCAATAGGAGAATTGGAGATTGCTGGCCTTTTCCTGCTCAATCAATTCCAAATGTGGCCACTGCGGCATAAGCCTGACTGCATGAGAAATCCCAACTCTTTCGATTTATTTAAGGAGAGAAGTTTGTTTGCGTTCTTGTCTTATGGATGAGACAGTCACTCATCCCTAAAGCCAGCACACTTTCATGTTAAAAGCACCTTCAACACAGGAGCATCGTGTGCCCAGCCAAAGTAACATCAATGCTACATATTCAAGTTCTGGCAAGGAGTCTTTAAAAATTATTCCCTCAGGGAGGTTGAGTAA